CCAAAGCCCCACTGAAGCAAACCCTGCTCCATTTGGGTATCTCCAGCACAGCAGCTCTTCCACTGTAGTTGCAGCTGGTCATCACAGCCAATTGGTCTGGCGGTCAACTCCTCCCAGTGATGCCAACAGCAATCAAGGCTCAACTACAACAAGATTATGCACACAGCCCACACAGGGATAAAACTAGAGTGCCCAGCTCAGGTGACTGGGGAGGCTGTGCCACTGGGCCCTACAAGACACCTACTACACAAAGCCACTCTACCAATTTCAGGAGACAGCTTTACATAATACATAGAATCAAACACAGGGAAGCAGCCATAATGTGGAGACAAAGAAACATGTCACAAATGAAAGAACAGAAGAAATCTCCAGAAAAAGAAACAAGTGAAATGGAATCAAGCAAACTACTGGATACAGAATTGAAAATAATGGTTAGGAAGATGTCCAAGGATCTTAATGAGAGATTCAAGGGGCTTTCAAGGATTTTAGTGAAAATTTCAAAGACATGAAAAGGACCAGTCAGAAATTAAGCATACACTAACTGAAATAAAGAATAATGTATAGGGATTCAACAGTAGTGTAGAGGATTTCAAGAATCAGTTCAATGATTTGGAATATGACCAAGCAAAAAACACCCAATCAGAAGAGCAAAAAGAAAAAGGAATAAAAAAAATATGAAGATACTGAAAGGAGTCTCTTGGACAACTTCAAGCATACCAACAACATTCACATTATGGGGGTGCCAGAAGAAGAAGAGAGAGAGCAAGATATTGAAAATTTATTTGAAGGAATAATGACAGAAAACTTCCCCTACCTGGTGAAAGAAATAAACTTACAAGTCCAGGAAGCACAGCGAGTCTCCAACAAGAGGAACCGAAAGAGGCCCACACCAAGACACATCATAATTGAAATGCCAAAGGTTAAAGACAGCAAGAGAATCTTAAAAGCAGTAGGAGAAAAGCAGTTTGGAAGCAGAAGAAGAAAAGAAGAAGGAGGAGGAGGAGGAGGAGGAGGAGGAGGAGGAGGAGGAGGAGGAGGAGGAGGAGAAGAAGAAGAAGAAGAAGAAGAAGAAGAAGAAGAAGAAGAAGAAGAAGAAGAAGAAGAAGAAAATGAACTATAAAATGGCAATAAATACATATCTGTCAACAATTGAATCAAAATAAATGAACAAGTAATCTAATGAATAAAATAGAAACAGAGGCACAAAAATATGGAACAGACTGACACATCTCAGAGGGAAGGGAGAAGGGATGATGGAAAGAGATTAATCAAAGAACTTATATGCATATATGCATTACCTATGGACACAGACAATAGGATGGTGAAGGGTTAGAGCAGGGTAGTAACTGAGAGAAGGGGAGCAATGGGGGAAAAATGGAGGGCATCTGTTATACTCTCAACAGCAAAATATTTTTTAAGTGTAACCATTCTTTGATAGCAAGGAATTCCTGAAGCTAGAGTTCCTAATCTCATTTAATTGGTAAGGATTTCAGGGGTTTTTTTTGTGTGTGTGTTTTTAAAAATATATTTTATTGCTTTTTTACAGAGAGGAAGGGAGAGAGATAGAGAGTTAGGAACATCAATGAGAGAGAAACATCGATCAGCTGCCTCCTGCACGCCCCCTACTGGGGATGTTCCCGCAACCAAGGTACATGCCCTTGACTGGAATCGAACCTGGGACCCTTCAGTCTGCAGGCCGACGCTCTATCCACTGAGCCAAACCGGTTAGGGCAGGATTTCAGGTTTTATGTAAAAATAAATTCAAGTTCTGATTATTTCCTTCAAAAAGTCTTAATCTAATACAAAATTGTATCTATCTTCTATTTAAAACTATTTAATCATATGTAAATATGGACAGGAACTAAAAAGGAATTTGAGAAAATAAAAGTAGTTGATTTGTCAGAATAGTGGGGATGTACATTCTTTTTTTCTAGTTATGCTTGTTCAATAAATAAATTTATAAAATTCTTGTTTCAACTTTCTTTTCCTTAGAGGAAAAAAAAAATTTCTAGCTTCAAAGTAAATTGTGTAATGTCAATATCCAAGTAGAATGACATTGGTTCCTCATTGGAAATTCCTAGATCAGTGATGGCGAACTTATGACACGCGTGTCAGACGTGACACGCGAACTCATTGTTTTGGTTGATTTTTCTTTGTTAAATGGCATTTAAAAATATAAAATAAATATCAAAAATATAAATCTTTGTTTTACTATTGTTTCAAATATCAAAATATTTCTATATGTGACATGGCACCAGAGTTAAGTTAGGGTTTTTCAAAATGCTGACAACACTGAGCTCAAAAGGTTCGCCATCACTGTCCTAGAGTCTCAAAGAATACCTTAGGTAAAGCTCTTAACAACTTTTTGTAGTTTTGATACGAGGTGAAACAAATGCCTTGAACACTGATTACTAGAAGTTTATACTGGTTCTCTCCCAAGAGACCTCTGTGCCCACCTCATGTGCTTGGCAATTGGTGCTTTTTTGGCATAGGAGTTGTACTCCATACTCACAGCTCAGATTTCATCAGTATCCTCTGTACAGTTTATTTAAGCTCAAATATATGTTTATTTTAATACCCTTGGCAATGACTGTCTAAAAACATGTTACTGCACTATAACTAGAATCACCTTAATCCTGTGCTCATAGACTTTGATAAATACTGTCATAATGTAATATTCTGTATCAGTTATCTATCACTACATAATATACTGCCTCAAATGTAGTAACTTAAATAAGCAACTATTTTTTATCTCTCAAGATTCTGTGAGTCTCCAAGAATATTTTTCTAGTTTGGGCTGGTTGGATTTATCTGTGCTCACTGATGTGTCTTTGGTCAGCTAGTGGCAAGTGGATAATATAGGATGGTCTCACTCACGTATCTGGCACGTGGTAAGCTATTGAATGGAACACTTAGGTTTACCTTTGTAGTGAACACTATGACATGCAACCCAGATCCTTCTTTTCAGGACAAATACATTTTTCTCAAATGTCTAGAATTGTTGCCTGCTGACAACGTACTGCTGAATCTCTACCCCGATAATTACCAAAAGATCTGCCTAGCCCAATATTGTACTCCTTCCTCAAGAGCAGCCCTCATCCAAAGACTGTTTGATGCATACATTAAAATGCCTGTCCCTTTGCTTTAACTTGAAACAATTTTGAAGGGTCCAGAGCTCCCCAAAGAATCAGCTGAGACATTTGTGTTGCAGCCTAACTTTCACCTATGACCAATCCTAGATTCATTACTGCCTCACATTTGTGGCTGAAAGCACTCCCCAGTAAAATTTCTACTTGAAAATCTCCATTTCAGAATCTGTCCTCTGGGGATCAGGACCGAAGACATTCTCCTCCAAGTGGCCTCTCTTCCTCCAGCAGGTTTTCTTGGGCTCACTCACCTGAAGGTGGTTACAGGGTTCCCAAGAGCATAAAGGAAAACCACAAAGAACTTGCACAGTTTCTACTCTTTGACATTATTTTGGTCAAACACATCAATTATAAAAATAATTTTGAATGGATTAAATAATATCAATAGCAGTGATGATGATAACAATTAATTTTCTATGCTTAATTTGCTCCAGGCACTATTCTAACCATTATATATAACTTATTTAATATCATACCATGTGAGGTAAACACTGTTGTTATCCTTTTTTACAGCTAAAGAAACAGTAGAGATTTATCAGATATTTACCCCAAAAAGCAGAATCTACTACATGAAATCTATGAAATACCTTTGATCCTAAAGTGGAGAAGGGTAACACAGTACTGTGATATACAGAGCAGTCATTCCAATTGGCTGATTTCACTTTTGGGCTTTAAATCATTGAGCAATGCTGCTGCTAATGAGAAGTTTCTTTAATTTGATCATTTTATCAAACAATTGAGAGTTAGAATTTGTTTGAACTCTACACATGTTATGGCCTTCAGTACGCCTTTATTCATGGACCTTTACCATATTTTATTCACTAAGGGATTCCTAAACCAAAATAATTTCAGTTGAAGATTAATCTGGTACAGTCAAACCCACTGTTGTGCAGTAGAGCAGAAATGTTAGGCATCAAGGCAGTTTATATTTGGATAGAGGTGGATTTAGTTACTGAAATGTCTGCCTTTTACTTCAATGATTGCTTTTCTCCAACTTTCCTTGATAATTAGAAATTACTTATTTATGGCTACCCAAATACTACAAAGGCAGCATGAATTTTGCATGCCACATTATACAGCTAAGAACTAACTAACCAACTGTCCCCTCTAACAGCCATTTCTGGGAGTATGTGAGAGCAATGTTGTTTCAACATTTTCACCTTACTTATAGGCAGGATGGATGTTTGTTTGGTTAGTCTGGCTGGATGGGTATTATTTTTTGACCTCACTACTCAAGTCGTACTTGACAAAGAGGCTGATTTGGTCATGAGAATGCAAGTTTTCTACCCTCTCATACTAGAATTTCCAAACAAATTTCTAGAAAACAAAAAGGATGGTGAAATACCTTACAATGACAACATATGCAGTTTTCATCATTGTAATATGGTAAGTGGCCTATAGTTGTCTTTGTGAAATCTCAACGTTAAGCTCTAACAATTCCCTGTCAATTGTATTGTAGCTAGGACACTACAGATATGATTCATGATATAAACACAAATTCCCTTTTCACTTAATAAAGTAAAATACAAAAGTAACTTCCCAAACTGGGACAATATTTAGTTAAATTCTTAAAAACTGATATCACTGCATTATCAGAAAATTTGGGATGAGAAAGGGGGATGTGATCTACTTCCTCTGAAATATAACATAGACTTTAAAAAAATTATAATCATACTCCTAGGAAAGGTTACTGAGAACAAATAAAGTTTGAAAGTTTCCCCAATTAACAACATCTAGCAAAATCAGAATATTAATTATTATTTTATTGTACTTATCACTTATTGAAAATGTTAAATGAAGCTCAATAAACAGATCTCTATGTTAGGCTTCTTGACCTCAGTATTATTGTTATTTTTTAATATAGCATGCTTTGCGAATTTGAGTGTCATTCTTGTGCAAGGGCCATTCTAATTTCTGTATCATTCCAATCTACACTAATAAAAGACAAAGATGCTAATTGACCGTACCTTAGCTACACCCTAAGCCATGCCCACCAGCCAATCAGAGTGACTATATGCAAATTAACTCAGCCAAGAGGGCGGCTGGCAGCCACAAAGCTGGAGCAAGCAGGAGGTTTGGTTGCCCAAGCGATGGAGGAAGCCAAGCTTTCCCCCTGCTCTTAGCTGGCTGTGGCCTCTGCTCATGGCAACAAAGTTTCAATTATAGAAGGCAAATAAATCCCAGATACCTGCTTCCAGCCAGCCTTCACTGGGAGCTTGGGTGGCTGGGGGCCGTGGCCAGCCTGCAAACAGCCATCAGCCCCTCACCCAGGATGGCCATACCCTCATGGGGTGAGGGTCCACGCTTGGGGGCTTGGCCAGCCTGCAAACAGCCATCAGGCCCTCACCCAGACTGGCCAGGCACCCCAACAGTACCCCCAACCATGAATTGGCTGTGGCCAGCCTGCAAACAGCCATCAGCCCCTCACCCAGGCTGGCCAGGCACTCCAGTGGGGACCTCCACACTGAAGGGGGTGTGGCCAGTCTGAAAACGGCCCTCATCCCCTCGCCCAGGCTGGCCAGGCACCCCAGCAGGACCCCCACCCTGATCCAGGACACTCTTCAGGGCAATCCAGCCGGCCCCCACCCATTACCAGGCCTCTATCCTATATAATAAAAGGGTAATATGCAAATTGACCCTAACAGCAGAATGATTGGGGATGACTGGTCACTATGACACACACTGACCACCAGGGGGCACATGCTCAATGCAGGAGCTGCCACCTGGTGGCCTGTGGGCTCCCACAGGGGGAGCTCTGCTCAGCCACAAGTCAGGCTGCCAGCTGCCAGCACAGCGGTGGTGGTGGGAGCCTCTCCCACCTCCTCAGCAGCACTAAGGATGTGGGACTGCAGCTTAGGCCTGCTCCCCGCTGGCAAGTGGACATCCCCCGAGGGCTCCTGGGCTGCCAGAGTGATGTCTGACTGCCAGCTTAGGCCAATCCCCCAGGGAGAGAGCCTAAGACAGCAGGTGGACATCCCCCAAGGGGTCCCAGACTGCGAGAAGGCACAGGCCGGGCTGAGGGACCCCCCAGCCGAGTGCACAAGTTTTTGTGCACAGGGCCTCTAATATATATATATATATATATATATATATATATATATATATATATATATATATTACCTTTTTTATAGATTAAATCAAGTTACAGCCAATAATTCATCAAATCCATTTAACAAAGCTTGTCAAGGCTTGGAGGATCACTCTCAATATTGTTTCTCCTTCATTTCTCTTCTCTTATTGAAACCTGTTTTGAGGGAAAGATTTGAAAGTCATTTTCAAAAGTGTAATAAGGCTTCAGGTATTTGCTCCTCTAGGGACATTCTCATTTTGTTGTTGTTGTTTTGTTTTGTTATTTGTTTGTTTGTTTGTTTTCAGGAAAACAAGAAATCTTAAGCCAAAAGAATTAAACCCCAGTTATGAAATTTTACCAGCAATGAAATGAGCAGAACAATTAAGTGCCCACTTTATTAGCATTCTCTAGAGAAATAGAACCAATAAGGTTTGTGTGTGTGTGTGTGTGTGTGTGTGTGTGTGTGTGTGTGTGTGTAAATAAATTTATTTTATGGAATTGGCTTTTGTAATTATGGGGGCTGGCAAATCTAAATCTGCAGTGTGGGCCAGCAGTTTGAACACCAGGAGAGCCAATTCTCTAGTTCCAGTCCAAAAGCAGTCTACTGGAGAATCCCCCCCTTCCTCAGTGATAATGATCTCTTTGTAGTATTCAGACCTTCAAATGCATGAGGCCCACCCACATTATGGAGAGCAATCTGCTTTACCCAAAGTTCATGGATTTAAATGTTAATCTCATCCATAAACATCCTCCAACTTGACACATGAAATTAACCACCTCACAGACCTTTGATAAAGACTACTGAAAATATGTTTCTATTTGTTTACTTCTTATATGATTTGTATCCTCCATTATATTGGAAACTTTTATTTGCAGTTCTGTTTAAAATAAAAATAGTCACATACCTATCCTAATACTTAAAATGTTATTTGATCTTCTATTTGTATACAGATATGAAAAAGAACTTATTGGAAATGATTCATCATGTCAAATTTGACAAATGTATATATTGAGCACTTATTATATGATAGGGATTGTAGGAGAGATAAAATAAGTAAGGCATAGTCTTTAGTGTCACATGGAAGGCAGAATATTAATACTCTTATACAAGAAGTATAAACACAATCAAGGGGAATTCAGAGAAGGGCAACATCACATCCCATTGAAATAATATAACCATTCTGTCTTCCTTTCCTTCAACAAATATTTATGAAGTTCTACTACTAGGTCAATCATTATTTTATTTTCTGGAGATACAGCAGTAAAATAAGTAAACTCCCTGTCCTCATGGAATTTGGTTTCTAGTGGGGGAGACATACACCAAACATGAAAACAAGTAGGGTGGTTTCAGGTCCTGATAGTATTTCACATACTGGGGTAATGGGAGAGAAGGTTATTGGCATTGTAATTTAAGTTAGAGTGGACAGGCATTTCTTTCTACAGAGTGGCATTTGAGCTAACACCTGAGTGATGAGAAAGGGTTATCTATGCCTATGTCTAAATGAGAAGCATTCCAGTTAGAGGGAATAGAAAATATAAAGCCTCTGTGGAAGAAATGAGATTGGGATGAGTCAGATGAGTCCAAATATATTGTAATATTTTATGTCCAAGGTAGATTCTTTTGCTTACTTTTCATTTTGTAAAAGTAATGAACAGTTAAATACATTATGAAATATCTATCTAAAATCATGAAGAATAGGGGCGAGGTCATCAGCGGGACTATCCAGAGTACATACAAAGCAGTGAAAGTCCTCTTTCCTCAAAGACTTTTGCTTTCTAATTTCAAAATGTGAATAATATGAATAATTTTGTTTTAAAATATTTTTATTGATTTCAGAGAGAGGAATGGAGAGGGAGTGAGAGAGAGAAACACCAATGAGAGAGAATCATCGATTGGCTGCCTCCTGCACACCCCTCGTGACCAGGAATCAAACCATTACCTCCTGGTTCATAGGTTAATGTTCAACCACTGAGCAGCACTGACTTGGCTAAATAGTTATTTTTATACACCTCAGTAGATGATTAAGTCTATCCCATTCATATCAAAGTGAGAATAATCTTGATCAGGTAATGGAATATTTTCTAGGTATACCAACACAATCTCAGGTAATTGGAAGGAGACTTAAAATTGTCTCATTGTAGTACTTCCTATGCTTCTGTCCCCACCAAGAGTTTGCTCACCTGAAATCATTATCCTTGCAGCACTTATTCCTTGGTCTGAGACCTATACCTATATCAGAGTTCTTAGTTATAGATAATAGAATCCATTCTAGCAAGTGTAAGAGGCAAGGGGTTGTTTATAGGTTGCAAGATAACTTACAGAATGTCTTGGAGGGTGAGGGACCCAACCTTAGATATTGCACAGCCAGCAACAATACAACCAAGTGAAAAGCCCAACCACACCATGGGGCTTCTCTAGCAGAAATTACACTAACACCACTGCCTATCACTCAGCACCTATGACTTTAGACAACAAATTGTAGAGCTTCCACCATAGTCTCCCCAGAAGATTCACTCTTTATTCAGAGCCCACCTCCCTCTCAAATATAACAGGCAAGTACATCTGACTAGTGAAGCCTAGATCATGGGCACAAGCTTAAATACAAGGGAATCTGGGAAATGAAGTTTCATGGTTTCAAGACTTTTTGTAGAGGAAAGTATGGTAGAAGAGGATTGGAATGAATACTGAGTGTGAGACATTTTGCAATATTTTTCATATTTCCTCTCTGATCTTTCTTGAGATTAAACATCTCCAGTTGCTTTAAATGTCAGAGGATGTTATGTTTAGAATCTGTTCACCATCCTGGTCATTCTCCTCTGGGCATTATCTCAGTGTAGGTCCCTCAAAATGCCAAACCAAGAACAGGGTAAAATTACCAGGTATCTGTTGGCCTGTGTAAAATGAAGCAGGTCTATCATTATTTTTAGATGCAGAACATCTAATAATACAGCTTCCTAATGCTCATGGAATCTAGTGAGTAAGACAGCAAGATTTATTTACATGTCCCTCACTTTTTAAAGGCACATTACCCCAAAATTATACTACTGTACTTATAGAGCTTGTTTTATACACAAAAGCAGGACATTGAAATATGTCACTATTAAATTTCATCTTGTTAAAATAAAAATCCAAAACTTGATATCGAGAGGCTAAAAAATAGGCAAAATCTGTTTTCCAATATAAATAGTTATCTTTACTACCTTTGTCTCTACTAAGGTTTGGCTAAGCATGTCCACTATGTTCTAGCTCAATTCATTAATATAAATGATTAATGTGACAAGGCATAAGATAGGGACCCATTAGAGATGGGTTAATATTGATCTATTAATTAGAATAAAGATAAAAGAACCCAATATGTATAATCACAACTGTCTGGTCCAAATATATCCATAGAGAGGGCTTTATAAAGTGCCATAAAAAATCCAATTACATAATTTTCACAGAACACCCTTGATCTGTCAGTTTGATAAAATTCAACATAATCTATTACATCACCTTACCCCCAGAACAGATCTGCCTTTTGATTTCCCTATTTCTGACAAAGAGGCTCTTTCTCCTTTAGGTCACCCAGGATTGAAAATTAAACATCTCTGATACCTTCAACTCCTTCTCCCCATGATCAACTAATCACTAAACCAGTTGTTTATTCTTCATTATAATGCTCTGGAAATTTTATGTCTCCATTTTATACTTTCAATACTCAAATCAAGGTCCTTATCACTTCAGAGATGGACCACTGCAAAAACTTAACTGATTTCCCTCATTCTTTTATGTAGTAACATTATGAAGAATGGCTCCCTTTTGTCCCAGTCACTCTCATGTATAATGCACTCTCCTACTTTCTCTGTACACATGTAAGACGTTTAGGGGAGGGGCTTTTTTGTCTA